AAATGACAAGGCATTGCATGGCATCTATTTTTTTTTTAAATTTAATTTATTCCAAATTGTGTATTACTGTAATTCCATTCACCTCAAGTGCACTAGGATGGCGGGGGACTGACACTGACCCTTTTTAAAATGATATTCATATAATTTATTGTATCAGTTTAATACAGATTATTATGATACAGTGTACTATTATTTATGATTACATTTAAATCTAGTTGGTCTACAACAACTGCATCCCTGGATAAACCACAATCAAGCATGTTGTTGCCATAGTGTTGTGTGTAAACATTTGTGTCCACATTGCCTCTACAGATTTCAGAGACATTTGGCTCTCCTCTAAAATCATACTGCATGAGTCAAGTTTCAAGTGGATATCAAAGTGCCCTGCCAGCAACCACATGATCTCTGCCTCCCTCTGCTGGAAGCAACACGAACACCTCTGCATACCTGTACTCAACTCCACACTGGAGAAGAAAGGTGGACCAGAAGTGGTAAGTTCAGCAGGACTGCTGGTGGTATTGGTGATAGATTCCTGATTTAAAATGCATAAAGCTTTCTCAAACACCCCCTGTGTCTCCTCAACAGATATATAACACATCTGCAGTGGACAAACACCCTCAGATGTGTGTGCAGGTGAGAATTATCCAACTGTGCTTGCATTAAATTATATGCTCAGTCGGTTCTTGGATCTTTTTAGTTGCAGACTCACATTTGTGTTCCATTTTTCGCAGTTTTCTCTACAACGCAGCCATAACATTTCTTGCCCCTTCCAGGCTGGTGAGTCAAACAGGGGGGGAAGGGTTCATTTTTCTTATAGCTGTGATGAGTGTCAATTTATCTCTGTTTCACTTTCTTGACTTCCCCTTCTCCTTGTCCTTTACAGATATGTCTTCATGGGAGGTGTATTTCGGACCAGGCAGACAGAGCGTGCTTTTGTATCTCACCTCTTCTGCTCCAGCAAAGTTCTCAGCTCAACTCTGTGTCCTTAATGAGAGGGGATGTACACCCATGGAGCAGGTCCATTCAGTGACAATGGTAAGCATACATATGTGTTTGTGAGAAAACAAATTGATAAATGTAATGTTAATGTGAGTGACTATGTGACTTTCGTTCATTTCACAGGATGGGAATACTACTGAGGCGAGGATGAATGTGCCTCTTCTCTATCTTGCAGAGAAGCCCTGTGTGCAGGTACAGTACACACCATGACTTTGTGCAAGACTTAGAAAGGTGTTTCGCTTATATCTTCTCGCCTTTCATACTTTTTAATCTGCTTTTCTGCAGGTGTGGCAGTCAGATCCTTCTCTTCGTGGTAGAAGAATTTTGTGCCCAGACTGTGAGTGTAGTCAAGATACACACACGAGCCCAAGTGTACCAACACGAGCCCAAGTGTACCAACACGTGCACTTTTGTTCAGTTTATGCATAAACACACGCATGCACATACAACTCCTAAAAAGTAAACAGACACACTGTCTCTTTGTGTTTCAACAGACACGCACAACCGATGTGGCATATATGCTGTGACAGCTTTGATCTTTGTGGTTATTGCTGCGTTACTGGGAATTTTCATACACCGTCTTACTAAGAGTGGAGCGGCAGGTTTGTTCAGTGGCCTCATAAATACAATTCAAGGTTTAGTTGATTTGAATAATCATTGGTTGTGTTTCTGGGTGGGATGTCTTCAAATCTTCAGATTTGAAATAATTTTAATTCCACTCTTGTAGTACTTAGTTTGTTATTTGGTAGCTTGATGGTAACTGTGTTAAATTTACAATCTTAAAGTAGTTATTCAGCTGACAAATAACGAATAATGTCTCCTTTTCCTCCCCTGTGTTTTCCCATATATCTAGGTTGGCTCTATATCCAGAAGCCAGTGTTGCTGGTATGCTCATCAGAACAGTCAGCCCATGTCTCTGCTGTGTGTGCATTAGCCTCAATCCTGCAGGGGGAGTTAAGTGCCACAGTGCACATGGCTTTGTGCGCCCTAAACTGGCAATCCCAGGCCTGGACCGGGACTAGAGTGGCAGATCTGGGTCCAATTCCCTGGCTGTATGGGCAATGGGAAGCCGTGCGCAAGGCACAAGGAAAAGTACTGATTATTTGGAGTCCTGAAGCCACGAAGACCTATGAGAAATGGAGGGATGAGAGGGAACACATGGATAAGAATGAGAGAAAAGAGGAACATTTCAGCAAAGCCAATGTGAAATATGAGGAAATAAGTGTAGTGGAAGAGGATTCAAAACGAAATGGAAGAAAACTGGGAAGATCCAACAAAGAAAACGCTGCAGGAAAAAAAGATTGTGTGAAATTATGTGATGATAAAGACTGGTACCTCCAGAGGGAGCCCTCTACAGTGATAGCACCAGTGTTTACAGCTGCTCTGACCTGCCTTGCTGGGGCGCTACAGGAGAGTAAAGGTCAAGGAGTGGCCCTTGTGTACTTCCAGGGCCTTTGCCACAGCAGGGACATCCCAAAGGCCTTCAGAGGTGTCCCTCGGTATTGCTTACCACAGGATTTCAGGGGTTTAATACAGGAGCTGGGAGGGATGAGAAGACATACACAAACTGGTAAATTCAGCTGGCACTGCTGGCCCAGACTCCTGTCTAAAATGATGTCTATATGGCTTGCTCAGCAGCTAGCCCAAAGATTACAAACACTGCTGCCTCAGACGCAAGAAATGACAACGCAAGGGCAGTGTGTCACATCGTCACTGAAAATTATGTCAGATAAGACACAGAGCAGACTCAAGTTTCCACTGGCAGCCAATTCGGCAAGACCAGGAACTGTACAAGAGCACGAGCCTCTCCAGGGGTCACCATGGAGAGCAGAGGAGTTTCAGTGTTAGGTTTCACATGTCTGTTGGGGACAGACAGACTTTTGTTCTGTTGGAAACCCAATACCTATATGAGACACAGGAGCTGGTGTTATACCTCATAGGAAATATTCATTACTTGGTGCCATCATGTCAAAAATACCAATATTTGTTTTGCATATGAAGAAGAGAATACGCTGTCCAGTCTGCATTGAGCCTCTAACAGAGGCTCTTTATGTTGCTTTCGTGACTGAAGCCATAGTGAACACCTGCCTTATCTCTGTGTATAATGATGACCATTATGAAAATACGGTTGCAAATTATTCCTCTTTCTTCATGAGTGCATTTTATGTTTGAAAGTGTTGTGTGCACAGGTGACCAACTGTTTGACCCTTGTTTACAGGTAGGTAAAATTTGCATAGGAGTTTCTAAACAGAGGTGTTGTGCCAAAGCTGCCACAGGATTTCCAGGTGAAAAGAGGAAATTACATATTAAATTACTAAAGTGTGCTTGTATTTGGCAGTTAATTTGCATGATCATTTGTTCAAGCATTGTACATATTATATTACATATAGACTGCCACCCTCTTAATAAATTATGTATTTACATATTTACTGCCTCGTAAAAACAAAGTATACATTACTCAGTGTTCTTTTACCCTTAGGCATACTGGACTTTTTTTTACCAGCAAACGTTTAATTGCTCCTTGTTGAAATATTTGTTCAATGTCACATAACTGTCTCCATGAATTATCCTGCTTCAACAAACAATGTTAATATATTAGCCTAACACTGTTGGCATTATACAGTTTTGTATAAAAAAATGATAAAGACTGCTTTTTATGTTAAAAAAGGGTTCTTGTATTCAAAGTAAACTGCTTTTATATTACTGAAATTTGTTTTTTCAGCACTCAGTGTCTATTGTATGAGCTTAATGCGTATTCCTGAACCAGTTTATTCAAATGAGTATAGAACAAACACAACCCCTGCATTGCTAAGGCTTGAGTGACAGACCTACTCAACACGATTAATAAGGAAGTAAATAATCACAGTAACAGTAAGTTACAGTACGTCACAGTAAAAGAAAACAATAACCCAATGTTATTGCCAAAACAATATTTCAACCATCACAGTTCAGCATGTAAAGGTTTGCCCCTGGTCAGGAGATCAACTTATTCTGACGTCGACACTGACTTTTATAGCTTTTATCAGGCTTAGATGTAAATTCAAGGACTAAATCGTACAACGTTAAAGAACTGGGGTAAGTTAATACAATACTCATAAGATAGGAAAAAAAGCCTATAATTCTGCCACTACAGTATGAATTAAATTTTAATGTAGGCCTATATAAAGAGTTCATCTCCTTCAAAGATCCCTGTCTGTAGGTCAGTTTAGTCACACGGAAATAACTTTAAGGCAAAAAATAAAGAGCTAAACTGCAGAATTTGACAATATGTCCAATGGGCAAATGAATGATGACTCAAGCAAACAGCCAATTACCTTTAAGAGCCACAATGATTTAACATTTTTCATACTGCACACAGTTAACACAATGCTTTACAAAGATAAGCAAGAATAGAAATGATCTACCACAATGGACTTAACTGACCTACTGACTTTGATAGTGGTTAATGATTAAACATTATTACACCAACTGAAACCAACGGGCTTTATTTTAATAACACTTCAACGAGGCTTTAAAATTATTGGTACAAGGCTGTAACCAAATGCTCACTGGTCCGATTCCTGCAACAGTTTAAACCTACTCATTGTGAGAGTTTCAGTTCAAAACTTGAACAGAAAGCCATGAAAGAGTTGGCACACTGATGTTCCAGTGAAATGACAATGCCATTTATAGTGTTACCATCATTGTCTCTGATCTGTAACCTTACAAATATTTGATTTTATCTGATGGCCTTAACTTGAGCAACAATTCACCTGACAACACAATAGATCGCCATGTGTGCTTTGCTGCCAAACTGGCATATCTTCGAGGTTAGTGGTTAGAAATGGGTTCACGTTTATTTTGTCATGTAACTGCTGTTGAATGATTCACCACACAAATCGAAAGTGCACGCGAAATGTCCCCGAATCCCATCACAGCGGCGGGTGTAGCGCTCTGACACGCCCAACCTCACCTGTCAATCACCGGGAAAGGCGTGTTAAACAAAAGGTTGGAGCGTCTCAACAGTCGGCTGGTTGTGGTGGAGGGACAAGCCATGGTCACTGGTGTCTCCGGGGACATATTACTGTCGTTCCTGTGCTACTGGGCGGATTTAAGGGTAACGGGCTTTCGCTCCTTGTGTTTCGGATGAGGGGGCTCTAGTCTCTGGAGACTCTAGAGACGCGCACCGGAGAGAGACCACCAGTGCCAGGCGCACAGGTGCTCTCCAAGAAATGGCTCTTAAGCTCTTTCGGGTGCCGCCACGTGTTTCCCTGCTGCTGTCAGTGCTGCGCTTCTGGCTGTTTATGTCGGCAGGAGCGCTGGAGATGGTGGACAAAGACGCACCTGAACTCACCTGTAGCGAGGTAATAAGTCAGCTGATGGTCCTTTAGTTACTTAATAACTTGTCAAGAGAAATGGTACTAAGGATCCAGGCTGTAACACAGTGATTACTACCTAATGGCTATAATATTTCTGTTTTGTGTATTTATTTGGACTCTGTTTCATTTAGTGTGTTGCCACATTTCTTTACGGATATCTATGAACAATTGATACATGGAGATTAACGCATTTAGTGTGCAGGTTTCAGGTTTTTTGGGGGAATTGGGAGATACAAGACACGGGGAGAGAAAGAGAGATCAGAGTTTAATGCCCATCATTTATTTACTATTGTGCCTGAGCTTGACACCTTACTCCACTGCTCAATTTCCAAGAAGGGTTGTTGTAGCTTGTATTTTCCTCTGAATTTTGTTTGAGGGAAGTACAACAAACAGTAAAAAGATAAAACATGTTGCAGCCTGGCACTCATAACAATCAAAACTCCAAAACAACAGACAAGGTTAAACATTACCTATGTATGTACTATAACACTGAGTTTTTATTGGCACTGTTTCAAAGATGTGTTGACTCAGTTCATCTTAGATGATGTAGTTTGTGGTTCTGTGTTATGATTTTTATTCTGACCCTCACTGATTCAGTGATAGGTGGGATAGACAAAATATTACCATAACTGATGTCGCTCCGTACAGTAGCTCTAAATGCAGATGTCACTTTAGTCACTGTTCCTACTGAAATACTAAATCATCTTTTCCCTTTAATTTGTCACTTGTCTATAATTTCCATTTATGTTGTATATGTATAAAACTCTGAAATAAAAATGTATTGCAATCTGAAAATAATTACAAAAAACGCTTATTACACATACCCATCTTACGATACACAAACTATTAGGTATCAAAAGTAACCACATCCCTACCATACTAATGTAAAAAAAAATCTTTTCATTTAATAATTTTTCAACATTTTCTACATGTGTGAAGCTCCTCACTGCATCTCTTTCATAAATTCACTCCTTTCAACATAAATAAAATGTTTCTTTTTAATAATTAATCATTAACTTGGATAATGGAACATTAATCATGGTACTCAAGGTGTGTTTCATTATGGGTGAACTATTAAACATTCAATTCTTATCTACAACTTTTCTCTCTTCAGGGTTTGACTGACTGCCACATGAGCTCAGGTAGCAAACCGATCAACACAATTGCATCTTGTATCATGGTAATAACCTCACACTAGAGTAAGCCTGCAGTTTGTCTAAAGCACAAACACTCTCTTCTTTCCCCAGCCTCTCTCTACCCCGTCGATCCAGATGATACAGTCAATGTTATACTTTTGCATCTTAAAGCGATTCTGTGCTGTTCTGCCACTCGAGATTGTATACCTTGCCTGCAAATCAGCATCACAGTCCAAGGTTAGTCGGAAACATTGTTTGATACGTCAGCTAGGTGGATTAGTGTATCTATACATCATGCATTTTTCTTATCACAGTGAATGGCTTTGGTTACAAAGGTATTGTTGTCATTTCCTCCATTCTTATCATAATTTTGGACTCGTCAATTAGGCAGGTGTCATGGTTGCAAAACGTCTACATACTTACTGGCATACTTATGGACTATTGCATTTCACATGTTCTTACAGAAGTCAAAAATGCAAAGCAGACTTCCGAGGAGTCTGGTGAGGATACAGATGAAGAGAATGGCATAAATCAAAACACAGAAGGAAGTGGTCAGCTTGTGATAACTAAGCCAAGAGGTACAGAACCCAAAACATACACAAGTCACACGCATCGTATTGTATAGAAGTTTACTCTTCTTCTCCTCTACTCTCTGTGTTACAGCTGTGGTGAAAGTATGTCTCAGCTCCCCAGGCAACTTTGAAATTTGCAAGGCACTCCGGTTCAAACCTACCTCCTCCGGTTTAGATCAAGCTTCTCAACAGCCCACACATAAGGTTTGGCAGGTGTAAAATAATTACCTCATGTAGTTGTTGTGTCTGTCATTGATTAATGAATTAACTTTCCTCCAGTGGTGGAATGTAGATTTACTAAAGAACTGTACTAGTACAATACTTGAGGCACTTTACTTGAGTGCTTCCATTTTATGTTACTTAATACATCTGCTTCACTATATTTTGGAGGGAAATATTGTACTCCACTACATTTAGTTGACAGATTACTGTACAGATTGAGATTTTACATACAAAAAGCTTATAAAATACAAAACACTGTTAAGATTAAACCTGTGGTTTCCAACAGTTCAGCTTGTGACCCATTTACAAAGAAAGAGCTTCTGTTTGTGTTAGTTCCACTAAAGAAACTAGACTCTAATCTAATAACATTTAATTTTTAAACTCTAAAAACATTCAGTGGTTCTATCAACGTGGCAGCCTCCATACAAGAGGACCCGCTCCCTCTGTAGATTATAAGTAATGAAAGTAGAAAACTTCTTATTTTCAGGTGATTTTATACTGACTAATGAACACATGTTACACACTGGACCTTTTAAGAGGGGCCTGACCCTGAGTTTGGGAACCACTGCACAAAACTATATCTGAAATAGGTAAACAATCTCCACCTCGACCAGCTACAGCATTAAAACACTGCTTACTCATAGGTGCATTAGCTTTAACAATCTAACAGTATGATAGCTCATACTTCTGTATTTTCACTTAAGCTGGATTTTGAATGCAGGACATTTTTGTAATTGAGTATTTGTACTGGTACTTCTATTCAAGTACTTCTTGCACCCCTGCTAGTCTCTCACTGCCCTGCGCTCCCATTTACTGAACTGCTCACAGACTACTCATGTGTTGTTACTGAGTGATTTAAGTACTTAATGTTTAAAGTATGTTCATCTATGTGTGTATATGTTTGTATACGCAGCTGGTGTTGACAGAGAAAGTGACGTTCGGTAATCCTGTTGTGGTTCTTGTCGATGCACATTCAAATGGAGTGCACAAGAATATCACAGTCCCATCTCTAGAAGAAGGTGAGGTTAAGTGCTGTGTAATGTAAGCAGAGATACGCTGAACTGTAGACTACAAATTCCTCCCGCTTTCTTTCAGTTTGCTCCACGGACCGGGAGTGGGCTGTGAAGGAATGTGATGGTAAGTCATGTGGGCTCTGCTTCCACCTGATTAGCTAGACTAGCGTGTATTGTGTACATGCCGTTGGCCATGTCAGCTAAAACCTACATACTTGTAAAGTGACACTCAGTTCTGACTTATGACGATTGATTCATTTCTGTCTCAGCCCCAAGACTTCGAGCTGTTCCTGATCACAAGAGAAATGTAGTCCTCCTGCAACTGGAAAACACTGATACCAGACGCGAAATCATGTGCCAGACGGTTTGGAATGAAATGCCTGGGGAGTTTCTTGAATGGGTCAGTCAATGATCAAACTATTAATCTGCTCCCTAGTAAAAAATAATCAATATTGTATATCTTTTTAACTTTTTATGTTTGCCCTTGCAGCCCAAAGGCAAGAAAGAAAGGGTCATTTCATCAAACTTTGTTGCACCCTGCCTGTGCTTCCAGGTAGCTCGCATGTAATTTTTGTTATTGTAACTGATAAGAAAAAGAATAAATAAAAACAAACATTTAAAACATTTTGTTTTCAGGTGTGGTGGAAGGGAATGGAACTCCGAAAGGAATCCTGCCCTTTTAAAAACCAGTCAGGTAAAAGGGAGTTAACCTAGATCAACCTGAGAGCAAGATACATTTGCATGGTAAATGATTTGATAGCATAGCCATGTTTGTTTTTATGTTTTTTTTCAGATGCACTGGAAAGAATGCAGCACAACGTGTCTGTGTCTTTGGCAGAGACAAACATGAGAGATGGTGGCACAGGGCTGAGCTGGAATGTGTCCGCCCCCTGCAGACTGGAGGCAGACGTGTGGCTGTGCAAGAAAGACCTGACAGGGGGCCAGTGTGAGGAGGTGACGGGCTCCAGACAGAGACTGCACAACGATGCACAGGCTGGCTGGAGTGCAACACGCAGTGGACATTGGGTAAAAACATCAAGAAAAACGTTTTCTTTGCAAGCTGTCTCACCCTCAGTGTTGGAAAATGGGCTGAAACTAAGGCTATGTTCACAGTGCAGGCACAAGTGGCCCAAATCTGCTCAAATGTGACACAGATATCATTTTTCATGACATCTTTTCAATTCTGATTTGGGACACCTTAAAATGTGATTTGACCTCAGTGTGAATCGTATTACCATATCAAGTCATGTGTTTTTTATGTTGTTCTTGATTTACGTTTGTCATTCAGTAACTTCAAGACTTTGACCTGCTGACACTTAAATCTCATATGGGCCACATTAAAAAAACAATGTGAACAGAGAAATAAATCAGAACTGAGCAGGTGCTGTACTACTAGCATTTCAATTTTACTTTACACATGTACTACACTACATTTCAGCACTACATCAAAATTAACCTATACACAGTAGAATGACTTTACTGTGGCTTTATCATCTCATCTCACGGCTCCAAAATTGAGAGAGATATACAAGTTAACATTTTCATGTAACAGAAAAGAAGAGCACAAATCCTGTGTTAAGTCTATTGGGGTTCAATTGTGGTCAGTTCATAAATCCAAAATGCCTGCCTTCTGAACAGCTGGTTAATCAGTTTGCCCCCATCTTGGACTGGGTTACACATGAGCAGAAAGACAATTAATTATTTTATGTGATGTTTCTTTCCTAAACGAGAGTGATTGAATGTCCTAGTATCAAGCATGTTGAACAGTGTGCACAACAAGCTGCAGGCAAAAATGCTCTTAATAAAGTTAATTTTTATTAACTTTAACTAAGATAGACCTGCGACCTACCAGCACCTGACTGTTACTAGCTGTGCATGGGGAGTTTTGTTCTGTAGTTATAAATCAGTTAAACTTGGCTCCTTCATTGGTCAGTTTAAGCTGTATTTAAATGTGATTGACTTATCCATTTTTCTACCTAAAGAATACTTTTAATGTGCTAACAAATTATTGTGACGACAGTGTGATTATGACATACTGTAAACTTTACAAAAACAATAAGGCACTGAATGATGTATAATGAATCGTTTATCCTCAGCAGGTCATACTCTTCTGACACATTATGGTCAATGGTGAATCTTGAGTTTTCTTCTTGGTGATTATTTATTTTTCTGAATTTACTTTTCAGAAAACAGGAGAGTTCATTGTGTCATCACATCCTCAGCTTTGTGTTCAGGTGATCTTTGTCCTAATGTATTAAATATATTCCTATACACATTATCGTTTGTTATTGTTTCACTGCTTCCCACAACTGTGCTAACCTTAACTCTTTCACTATTTTTACAGATAAAGATACATGGGATGGAGTCATACTTAGAGCCTCACTGTCCATTTGCAAGTAAGACTATTAATTATTATCCAGATTGAGATTAAGTGTGTTTAATGATTTAACTCTTATCAGCAAACACATGCTTCATTAGAATGTGGCAGATTATTAATTAACTGTAAATATGTTGTTGTATATCCAATCCAATCCAACTTTATCTTTAAAACAACCAAAGTGCTGTACAGAAGAATAAATAAGACATCATAAATAAAAGACATAACAGCTCACATGAGGCGCAAAATTACATATAAAATACAACAATAAATGAAAAGACATAAAACATGAGTAAAAATAATAGCCACGCAATAAAAAGCAATCAAAATAAGAAATTAAATCAAGTAAATAAAGTCGACATCTTACTAGGTGTAGTAATATTATCAGTGTCTGTGGAACTTCTTTAACATGCATTATTTTAAAGACTATTGTATTTATTATTTTCCAGCCTCGCGATGGAGATGGAGCCTGCCACTCTTCATCGGATTACTGCTTATGTTTTTGGCTATAGTAGGAGCCTATTTTATACAAGGGGTCTTAAAAGGTCAGTTTTCTATTTGTAGTCCATTGAATATTATTAGCACCTTCGCAAAATACCTCAATGTGTACTTCTGTTTTCCTTTTAGGCTATGTGTGGAGATGGTTGAAAGAAGATGATGTTAAAGGTATGAGAAAGCCTATTTCATACTGGGCAACCATTATCTTCCACATCCCCTACTCTTAACATTAACATTTTCATACTTTTATTCATACTT